AACGAAACTGGAAGCTGTTAAAATGCTGCGTCATGACCCCTCTCCTCGCCACTGCAAGGAGAGAGGGGGGGGCCCGGGGAGGTGGCGGGCGGCTGCGGGGATGGGTGCGGCTGTGGAGACCTGCCCCCACTACCGCTTGCCTCAACTTGCTTGCCAGGTCCCGGCCCCTGCCTCGCCCCATTTCGCTCCAGACCGGCGTCGTGTACGGACGTACGTCGTGACCTGCAAGATGGCTCCCCACCTGAGGTAGGCACCGCTTTCGGCTTTGTTCGGCGTGGGCTGTGGTTTTCTCTAAGTTAATTGGGTTCTGTAGTAGTGTATATTTATCCTTCTTCGATATTCCTCGTAGAATTGCGTAACAGTCAAAATTTGCGTGCCCAAGTGGTCCCCTTTACTCCTCTGGTTCAGTCCAGTCATTCCTCGCTCGAAGTGATTTGTTGAAGTCTTGTTTTTTGAATGTTAGTGAAGTTTTTTGTGGGCACACATTGAGCAATGTGTGCCTTATCCGTACGTAGTAGTTTGGCGTCGGCCAGCGTCACTACGTTCAAAGTTCTTTACCTTAACCTTCTTTCAATGAGACCACGTGTGCCTGTATTGCATTTTGGTATTGCATTTTGAATAAGTATGATCAATGTGAGCTGGATTTAGGCCGAATTACTTGACCTCGGCCCTCGCTAATAACCTCACATTATCTAATTTCGATACACCACGTGTGCCTGTTAGTTTCCATGAACCCCAGGGTTGCCAGCGACTCACTTTTCTCACTTTTTTCCACTATTTTTAAAATGACTCACTTTTTGCTACTTTTTTGTAGAAACAGTCACTATTCGTCACTTTTTCGGATGTAAAGACGGTAAAATGACTATTTTACTGCGTCCCGTGAGAAATTTCGTCAGTTTTGTAAGATGTTTCAAATTGTCGCTGCTACTGAGATGAAAGTTAGTATGTGTTCACGGATTGACCCATACAGAAAACTGCTGAATGACGCATGCCGATCATTAGCGCTACCGCAATAACGCGGCTCGTATTTAAGTCTTTGTGGATCATTTTCTAAGCGAGCTCTCAGAGCCTACATGTGATAAGGTTCAGAGACGTCTGACGACATTGAAAAAGACGTCAACTTGTACACTCCTAGAGAACTTTTGTGCAGAAAACTATTACATGATGTAGTCTCGTTTAATCGAGAATTTTTCCGGGGAGTTCGATAGTGACTTCGAAAATTTAATCTGAGAGCTTAGAAAATGTTCTAGAAAAACTGTGGGTCATCATTCAGTGATCGACAATTCAAAGTTTTTAGTGATAGTTTTCTGTTCTTGTGCTTCATTTTTTTTACACTCAATCTAAAGTCATGACGAATGTGTGCAAAATATGAGCCATACGTTCCAAATTATAAAATTCCAACGTAAAACGTCACTTTCCCCCCACTTTTTAGACGTAAAAATTCACTTTTTTGTCACTTTTTGGGGATCAGGGAAGTCACTATTCTACTATTTTAAACCTTCTTGGGCGCTGGCAACCCTGATGAATAGGGTAAGTCGTATATCGCTTCTTTTCGATTCTTGGGTTGTAATAGTGTTTTCCAAGCGCCATTTTGGATGAAAACTCCTGGAAACATTTTTTAAGTTTTTTTCTTTAACGTTTTCATAACCCTACCTTGCCTGTTATTCTGGCCTGCCATAAGAGGTGGTTTTGAAAACTTCAATTTTGGGCGTATTTTTTTCTTGACTAAACACGCAATTTTACGGCCCTCAGCAGCTCTTAATGTCGCCATCTTGCCACAGCCTGAGCCTGGAGCGGCTCTTAATGTCGCTGTCCTGCCACAACCTGAGCCTGCAGCAGCTCTTTCTGCTGCCGTCCAGCCGCAACCAATGGCCCCATCCTTATCTATCACAATCAACCTAGGTAAGTTTTTAATTGTCTGCATAACCTTTGCAGGGTTTGAACAGATGCTTGTGTGTGATATCCTATTAACTGCATGTGTTCCCTTCATACCTGTCTTTTATCAGTCAATGATTGGAAACTGAATGGCACTTAAACATCTTGTAGCCAGGTTATTGTACTGGTCATATGTTTCTTTGCCTTTACCGAACTGAGAAGCTGACTGGATGGGTTGCTTTCTTATTAATTCCACGTGGCTCTGTCCTTGTCGTAATCATGGGACAAGGGATCAGTCGGCAGAGTGCAATTATTTTAATATCAGACCAATTCAATTTAATTCAAACAAATTCAAAACTAATTCAGCTAATTCAGTCCAATTCAAGACAATGTTCAGTCAACTCAAGTCAATTCAAGCCAATTCACGCTAATTCAATAAAATCGCAATAATTCAAACCAATTTAAAACCAATTCAACCAATTATTCAGTCCAATTCAAATTCAATTCAAGCCAATTCAAGCAAATTCAAGTTCAATTCTTGAAATTTGTACACCCAATTCAGGAGTTATCCACCAGAGCCCTGCACCGAGCGAGCATCGGATGCCTACATGGCGTCCGAAAGCGGTTGTGGGAGCGAGAAGCTCGCGCCGGGCCATAGCTCCCTCTCACTCCGATTCGCTTTCGGACGCCATGTAGGCATCCCAGGCCGCTCGGATGCAGGGCTCTGTTATCCACCCCTCGGTTTTTACCCAGTTTGCATTTTGTTTCATCTAACAATGTATCCTAATAAATCACTTTTCTGTGCAGTGTTGCCTCATGGGATCAAGTTACCGGAGTTACCTCTGTCAGGTCTACTCGGCCCACTTTGTGAGTAACATTTCATGATTTTCTTGAGTATTATATTGTGGCTTGCTTCAGATTCATGACATTTGACATTGCATTATTGTATTTGAATATTATTTTTTCTTCTAGTGTCAGCCGCAGCAAGGCCGCCGAAAGTTGTTGAGGTGGAGGGTCACTCTGCTTCGCCCTCAACTCATGGAAACTCTGCTTCGCCCTCAACTCATGGAAACTCTGCTTCGCCCTCAACTCATGGAAACTCTGTTTCGCCCTCGACTCATGGAAACTCTGCTTCGTCCTCAACTCATGGAAACTCTGCTACACCCTCAACTTCTGGAGCACACTTTCCTGTCGCATCGACATCTTCTGATGACTACAATTCTTTCCCTTCGACATCTTCTGATGACTACAAGTCTTTGCCTTCGACATCTTCTGGAGACTACAATGTAGTCCCCTCGACATCTTCTGGAGACTACAATGTGGTCCCCTCGACATCTTCTGGAGTGATTGACTTAACCGATACCCCGGATGACTATATGGACTTCGGTTACCTCAGAGGTAAGGGTTGCTGCTTTGATGCAATAAGTTGTTGGTAATCACGTGCAAATGCTTATCTCCATGGTTGTGTGCCCTCATGCACAGCTCTATGGAGTTTCACATTTAAAAGTGCTTAACTATAGTTAGCTGAGCGATTAGCGAAGCCTATTACTCCACTGATGATCAAAAAGTTTCGCGTCTGTTTGTCTGTCTGTCTGTCCGTCTGTCTGTTTGTCTGTACGCACGATAACTCGAGAACGAATTGAGCTAGCGACCTGGGATTTTCAGGGTCGTTTTGTATCATAAAAAGACAGATCGAGTTCGAAGAAGACCATTCTAGCTCAAAAACTGGATTTTTAAAAAAACGAAAACCACAGGTCCCCAAAATGACGTTTTTTTAAAATATTTTTTTAATGTTTCCCAAGGAGTAACTCATCGAAGTAGAGCCCTTTGGGCGAAATTTTCATCCGTTTGGCTCTATCTCTAACCGTTGAGGCACTAGAGGGTGTTTTTGACGAAAATAAGCGAAAAAATGTACAACCCTGCATGCTTAGGCAAAGTGACGGGCCGTTAACGGGCCGGAGGCCCGTATCTTTGTGTACACTTTTGCACTACCCGACTCGGGTGTCAGCGCCGCAGGCCTAGGTAGATGTATGCCAGGCGCGTCGCAGCGTAACAGTGTTTCGTGAGATATCGCGAAGCCTGTTACGCGAGACGTGGTCTGGCGTACATATAGCTAGTTTACGTTGGTTTTGCCAAGAACTGCCCCACAGCGCCGAAATGGTACAAGATAGAGCAAAACGGATGAAATTTTCGTCCGAAGGACTCTACTTTGACGAGTTACTAGTTAGATAATTTATCATGTCTGAAATTAAATTGTTCAGCGGAAAACATTTGAGTTATTTGGGGGGAAGGTGGTATATATAGGTATATATAAGGTGTATAAAAGAATCAGATTTGTGCAAACATAGCTGAACTTTGTGAAAGCACAAGGCTGGGGTAGGCATGATAAATCATACTAGAGTTGTAGTGAGCAAATTTTATTTTCCAATTCCAGAATCTATCAAACACAGCTGAATAAACAATGAGAAAAAATCCATGAAGAGTACAGCGAGAAAACAATAGCATATAAGTATTTAAGCATGGCTGCTTACACAAATATGACTTTGTACAAAGCTTGACAAACTATTTCTCAGATAAAACCAAGGTCGAACAACAATTGTAAGAGTGCACAGTGCAATGTAAATTTAAATCAAGAATAGAGAACCACATGTGTCCCACTTGCTACAAGATAGCTCCTACGATAAACATGATAGAGATAGCCTACCACCTGGAGCGGCTGGCCCTGCTGGGGTTCCAGGACGCTGAAGAACCTTTTGCTGGACTTCTGGACGTCACAAGCATGTCTACATAGTCTCCTCGCCTCGACTTGACCCCAGTTGGAGCGGCTGGCCCTGCAAGACTTCGAGGAGGTGCGTCTTCTCCTCCTCGCGCTGCCTCTTCTACGGTCTCGACCTGGACGCCGAGCCCGACGACGGCGTACTCAGGGCCATCACTCCAGCCAGCCACGGCGCCGGCCCTGACTCGATGACAGTGGGGACCGAACACGAGTGCGAAAGGTCCACGCAAAGAGCCGGGCCGTCCACGCCGTCGCTCACCAGGCTGCACTGCCTGGCCAACGAGCACGCGGCTTCCTTCACGTACAGCATACTGGCCGCGCACGCTGCTACCCTGGAGGAGGTGTTCACAAGCACAGACTTCCCCTTCCAGGAGACGGTGACGGCGAAGTTTCTCTCTGCGCTACCGAGACTCCGCAGTCTGCGGTGCGAAAACCCCATTGGGGGGCTGGAGGCCGTATCGGTGTGCCCGACGCTCAGCGAGGTCGGTTTCGACCTCTATACAGAAGATCTGGATCAGTTGGATATGCTGAAGCAGTTCCTTCGCCGAGCCGGCCAGCTGCGCCGTGTGCACCTGGGCAACTGCGCGGAGGGCCTCTGACAGATGTGCACGTCGCGGAGCTCGAGGCCCTCCCTGAGGCTGTGGCTGGGAACTCGGGGAAGGACAAGTTTGTCCAGAGGGCCCCAGTTGGAGCGGCTGGCTCTGCAAGACTTAGAGGTGCGTCCTCTCCTCCTCGCGCTGCCCCTGCTGCGCTCTCTGCGCCACCTCGACCTGGACGCCGAGCCCGACGAGGACGTGCTCAGGCCAGCTGCGCCGTGTGCACCTGAACAACTGCGCGGAGGGGCGTCCTGACAGATGTGCACGTCGCGGAGCTCGAGGCCCTCCTCGAGGTTGTAGAACTCGGGGAAGGACAAGTTTGTCCAGAGGGCCCCAGTTGGAGCGGCTGGTCTTTAAAGGCTTTCCTGGACCTGGACAACCTGCTGACCGACAAAATCCTCAGGAACATCACTCTCACCACGGCGGGCAGGTTTCTCGGTGGAAGATGAAGGCCGATCACACAGGTGAAAGGCCTTAATACGCAGCTGCCGGCGGTCAGTATCCCTCCTGCCAGACGACCAAAATAAGCGCAAGAAGGTCTTGCGCGCTACAGCCGATGAGAAGTTCGGCCAGAAGAAGGAGAGTTGAGAGACGCGTTCAGCAAACGAAGCGTCACAAAGCGTGATCAGAAGCACAACCCTGCAAAACAAATAGATAATTAGTTCATCCTTGATGCAAAGGATTATTTCACTTGAAAACTGAAAGTGTTCTGCCAAAAAGAAATCTCACCTCATGCTGCAGAAATGTTGAGCCTCGATAGATAAAGTAAAATGGTGAAAAGAATGGTGTAGTCCTTCGAAGCCTAAGAGTTTTAAGTTGGTAACAATCTGAAATAAGATATTGCAAGTGGTTAAGCAAAAGACCACACCAAAAAACACAAAATAAAAAACATTGCTCAATTGGTGTAATGGAGACTTAATTCTCACCTGGACTTGAATATATTCTTCTCATTTTAAGTTCACCAAGAAATACCAAGATAAAAATTCCTGCATTTCCACAACTCACAGCATCCAACAGCTATGCAAAATGACACCTGTAATACCAAGGTATCTACATCAGTTGACAACCAAGTAGAGGTGAGAGGGCCGAGATAAGGAAAGAACCAGCATTAACAACTACACACCTAGGATAACTATTCATTCAGTTCATCCTCAAAAGGCCACGGGTAGCACAAAAGTTCATGAGCCAAAACCACCGCGTGTCTACATCATGCCACACTATCAGTAAACATGGTTCTCGTGACTTGTGACAGCATTCAAGATAAACATTCCACATGAGGAGTTCCATCAAAACCATACCTAAACAATACAACTGTTTTAGAAACAAATCATGGCCAAGGTAAACACACACACAATAAAGAATCTGCATGAAAACTTACCTGATAGCCATTCAAGATGGATTTTTCCCACATTTTCACGAGGGCCAGTCAGCACAGTGAAATTTGGGGTTACGATGAGAGTTTATGGTCTCGGGCTGGAAACTCAACTGAAAAACTGCCAAGAGGCATTGCCTGCAATGAAACCAACTTGAATTACCGATATGAAGCCATACATGTGAGTCACTAAATGCACCCCTGTAATTTCACAGGAGAAATTGTCCCAGTTTATCCTCATCTCTTTTCCAGATTGCCCCTTTCCATAGCCCGGTCATGAGCGTGGCTATCATTCCCAACAAAACATGGGAACAAACTCAGCACTTGTTGAAAGAGAAATGGAGAGCTTTTAATGTCAACTACACTAGTGTGGAGCAGCGCATCGTTGTCACCTGCAAATCAAATTGAAACCATGATCCTTCTGCACAGAACAACATCTTCAAAAAAACTATGTGGAGATGCAATAAGATGCATAAGAATTCGTACCAAGACACACACTGCACATGCTCGTCCTCTCCCAAGTTCCCACCAAGGGAGGCCTCGGGGAAGGACTTCCAAAAAGCCTTCATAGGCCAGGCGCTACAATTGTGGCCAAGACGAGGCCATGAGGGCCTCCACAAGCCCTGAAATCAGAAACAAAAATACACATAAGAGCACTGGATATGGCTCAATAAACTATATATAACAAAGAACTGGTCATACCAGGAGGCCCTCTGGACAAGCTTGTCCTTCCCCGAGTTCCCAGCCACAGCCTCAGGGAAGAACTTCATCGCATTACCTGCAAGATAAAAATGCTCGTCAATACAACTACAACACGGGTGAATTAGAAGTGCAAAAAGCAACTGATGGAACACATACCAAGCTTCAGATCATCATATTTACCAGAGGGGCCTCCACAACCCCTGAAACAAGAAACAAAAATACACATAAGAGCACTGGATATGGTTCAATAAACTATATATAACAAAGAACTGGTCATACCAGGAGGCCCTCTGGACAAACTTGTCCTTCCCCGAGTTCCCAGCCACAGCCTCAGGGAAGAACTTCATCGCATTCCCTGCAAAACAGAAACAATATTACATCAGATATGAGCAAAGAGCATGGTTCAACACCACAACTTAAACCTTATTTTACACTTTTAACATAAGAATTCGTACCAAGACAGACACAGCAACATGCTAGTCCTCCCCCGAATTCCCAGCAAGCGAAGCCTCAGGGGAGGACTTGACAAGCCTTCATAGGCCAGCCGCTCCAAATGAGGCCAAGACGAGGCCATGAGGGCCCAACTATATGCCCTGAAATCAGAAACAATATTACATCGAATATGAGCAAAGGCATGGTTCAACAACACAACATAAACCTTATTTTACACCTTTAACATAAGAATTCGTACCGAGCCTTTAAAGGTCAGCCGCTCCAGGTGGTGTCCAGACAAGGCCACTCCTGGCCCCCAAAAACCCTGAGGCCCCCATCTCTGCTGTTCCGGCCGTTCTTCCTGCAGCCGTGCCTGCCGCTGTTTCGGCCGTGCAGACTCCAGTCGTGCCTGCAAGGGAGGCCTCGGCGAGGCCATCATCACAATCCCTGCGAGGAAAATCGTCAATTAGAAAGGGAACGGTAACACAGCTTGAGCTAAAACGTTCAGCTGTGAGGCAGCGACCGCATGACGACGGGTTCAGAGAAACGTTGTTGCCTGCTTCTCCACACAAGAATCATTGCTCACACCGGTGATGGAGAAGTCACAAATAGTGGAAAGGTACTCACATGTGAACAATACTTCTTACTCTGCACACACTAAAGTCTTCTTGTCGGCCGGGGCTGAGAATGAAACTGATGTTGTAGATGTTGATGAAAACTGTTACACAGCCTTGGTGTCAATGTCAAACGAGAGAGAGAGAGAGAGAGAGAGAGAGAGAGTATCGAAATATCGTATGGCAAAGTCGAGAGTCCCCGAAACCGGGCCGAGCAAGGCCGAGCCGGGCCGAGCCGGGCCTGCCGAGCTGAGCCCAACGGATCCGAGAGTCGCGGCGCACCACAGCCGCTCGACGGCGTGGCGCGAACCAAGACTAATTCAAATTTAAGTTAATTAACTTAGTTAAGTTAAGTTAGTGAAATAGCGTAAGCTATTTCACTTACCCTTTTCCGGGCCCGGAACTGCTGTTGGGCACCTCGTTTGCTCTCCTGATGGTATCTGTACCTGTTTTAGCTCTTATGTCAACAAATGCCTCTAAATGAAATAACATAATGTAACTAACTATTTTACTTATTTTATTTATTTCATCTACTAAAATAGATTAATTCACTTCGGACAAACGCACTTCGGACAAACGGGCTCACCTCAAACCATTTGCCAAACAACTGCCTCATAGGATAGAAAACTTATCATCAGTGATAACTGTTAGAACAACAAGTGACCTGAAACCAGTTGATTTTCAAATTAAATCTAACAGGGTACGTATTGCATTAATATGGTTAATTCAGAACAACCCCTTATATTTTGTTGTTGAAATTAGTGATGACAATTTACAATCATTACCAGAGGATGGGAATGTGTATGATAATGTGCAAAGTTTTCAAGATATAGAAGAAAATTCAACTGACATTCTTGTTCCACCTTCCGAAGAACACAATTCTTCTAATCAATCTTCGGAAGATATGGAAAATGAAAGTATCCTTGAAGAAGAAGTTGAAGAGGATATTGGAACAATTTATGAAACTGGTGTACCTATGTTAGGTAAACCAAGTGAGAAGTCCCAACTTGAATCAATTCTTGACTGGCCAACTATTGATGCTAGTCCTGTAAATGAATTTAGAACTGTAGGCTACATTGCTCAAGCTTTTCCAAAATTATTTCCTTGGGGTTTGGCAGATCTAAATTCTCCACGAGAAAAAAAGGTTACCCCCATCAATTATTTCAAGCATTTGATGAAATACCATGATGATAGATTTGCCAAGCATCCAAGGTTTCGATTCTTTGCCCTAAATTCCACTATGCGATGGTCTGCGCTTAAAGATGGTAATCTTTTTATAAAATTTCATCCGGAATTTAAGGACATGAAAGCTCAGGATCTTAAAGAGCAACTGGCACATGATCCGAACTCAATGAAGAAAATGATGTTTCACAGTTCAAACATAAAAGGAACTCGTGCTTCTTGGTATGCTCGTGGCAAAGAATTAATGGCTATGATTGAGCAACTCCTATTACCAACATTTTTCTTTACACTTTCTGCTGCGGATTTTCATTGGCCAGACCTTTATAAACTTTAAGCTCCAAATGTGGAGTACAGTTCAATATCAGAACTTGATAGGAGAAAATTGATTGAAGAAAATCCAGATATTGTTGATAATTTTTTCTATGAGAGATCTACAATTTTCATTAAAGA